TCTTTTCCAAAAATGATGCATTCTTTATTTTAGCCAAGATGGTTCCCGTCCACAAAACATACAGGAAATTGAACATGTCATAATGAAGACTTAATCTTTGGCACTGCTGGAGTGCTTCTGGATGATTATATTTTAACAAAAGTTAATGGCCAAGTAATGGAAATAATGAGCTGAAGTGAAAATCCAATATGAGTTTGATGAGCAGAAGAACATTCTGAATGAAAGTATACCAGAGGGGAAAATCCCTACGGAACATTTTACTTCCTAGTACTCCTGGAATTTATTGGCTTTGGTGCAAAAATGTACATGATTGATCACGAAGCCTAAGTGAATGTGTACTGGTGATCTTCAAAGGTGATGGGGCAAAGCCTGGAGACGCCTTCAAGAAAATCAGTTTTACAAACGTTCTCCAAAAGGCCTCATCTCGATCTCCATGAACTCCCACACATATTCATCTGTTTGCACTTGGCCTCTTATATTCCGTCTGCTAGTCCAGGACCCTGTTCCAAAGTCCTGAGCCAGGAGTAGGTGAGGGAGATGAGAGTGGCAATGCCAGGATGCAGGTGAGAGGTGTGAGGCTCTAATGAATGAAGAATGGCAATTTGGGAACACAGATGGACGAAGAGCACATTTATCACACAAAAGACCCAAAAGACTCCTTTAGTCCCAGAAAGCGGCGTAAGTATCCTTTCCCTTAATTGCTGGAGAATGAAAGGGGAATGGTAAGACCTTCCAGACTATTGGTAGCAGAAATTGATGCCAGTATTCAAAGATTAAAGTGACAACGATTCCGTCATGAGTGCCATCACTGTCGTCCTCTTTGTCTTGATCAATACTATCATCCGGGTTAACATTCACCGAATGCTTAGAAGATGCCATTCACCAGCCTAACGTATATATTTACAAGATTGAATTTACTTGTCACATTCCAGTGAGCTTACTCTTTTAATTCAAATCACAATATAATAAGTAAGGAAATAAATTAGGTGACCTGTGGAAACCCTGTGGTCTGCAGGAAAAGCAGGGAAACTGCATCCTGTTTTGTACACTGGGTTGCACCGTTACCTACAGTATGAATGAAAGTGCTTTGCAAATTATAAATACTCTAGACTTACAAGCAGCCATTGTCATCGTTAGTGATAATGTGATTTACTGTTTGAGAGGCAGTTCTTATTGATCATTCTGTGACATAAACAACAAACAATGATAAACAGTTCAAAGGTCTGATAGAATATGTTTTCTTGTGTCATCTGGGGTCAAATTAAAGAAATATATAAGCAGCCAACTTATTTGCCAATCACATTTCTTCGAAAAGTCATATTCTGTTCTAGTCATTATTTAACAGATTTTAAACTTTAGGATGACGATTTCTGAATTTCCTCAGCAAAATGGATACATTTTAAAAAGGATGTGATTTGAAGATTCTCCCTGCCAAAACAAACAAACAAACACAACACCTGGAAAACTTAATCAAAACATGAACGCATAGGATAAGCCAAAGGGATCTTGGATACTCTATTGATAGATGATTAATTATGAACTTCATTCGTTCTATCATTATATTTGCAGCTTAGAGTTAAATTTTAATACTCTAGATTAAATTTCACCTTTGTGATTTTTCTGACATGTTTTCCGATGATTAGTTGACATTTTTTCTCCAATTAAAATTATACATTACATTTTATACCTTTCCTCTGTATGTGATTTTATGCTACAAAAATGGTTGATATATTTCTCATATTTGTGTGTTTCTTTCATAATATAGTATTATTTTAACTTCTCTTCCCCCATATAATATTATTTATTTCCTTATTTTGAAGATTGCTATTTGCTGTTTCATTCTTTCTTTGGAATGAGCCCAAAATAACTAAAAATTATTAGTGAAGGACCAGGGTTATTCATTAAACATTTTCTCCCCAGTTGTTAAAGGTTGACTAAGTGGGAAACATGTTTGTCATAGATCATATGAATGGGGTGCTTATATTCCAGTAAAATAAACCATAACTTGATGAGATTGGGTGCATTCAGTGTGATATGGCTGTAGACTAAATAAACCATAATTTGAATCCATCCCCCTAAAGTAAAGTATACATGAAACAACTTTTTCGAAGCCTTAACAATTTATGACACCACTCTATCCATTAGAATTTATATTTACAACTGTTATCAAATGGTACGTGTGCTTCATGACAGAGAAGCAGTCTAAAATGTTCATAAGAAAACCAGTTGACATTGTAACTGAGATTAGTTTTAAAATACATATATATAATATACACATTTGAAATGATAAATTTCAAGTTTCTGTTCATATTTTTAGAAATTACAGTTTCCCCAACTATCTATCTGTCTTCTTATATCATTTTGTGGAATTACTTCTATTGCTATTTTAATCTTAGCCTCTTATTTTAATGTAAAATCTTACGTGTTTATTTGTAGCCAACTAGACTGTATTCTTCTTAAAACCTGGGACGGTCTAATATGTTAACGAATTGTTCATCAGTAAAAATGGTATTTTATAAGTGTGCCTTCAATTTTAAGAGTAGAAACGCACTATATGTTTGCAGTTTGTAATTAAAGTCACTTTAATGATCTAAGCACGTAGGTGAGGGTAGGCAGAGTGCTAATTAATGTGACCAAGTCTTGCTTTTACTTGAATAAATAAAATTACAATTATTTCACATTTTAGTCCCTTTCCTGAATAACACTTCGACCTGAAGTATTGGCATCTAAAAAAAGTGAATAATCTGAGTTTAAGGTAAGTGTAACTTTCTCACTAATCCAAGAGGTTAGCAATGAAGAGAAAGAGCAGCGAAAAAGCTGGGAAAATCACACACTGTACTTTTCAACTGCTGAAAAGCAAAATATTTATTATACTTATATTCTTGCCATAGAAAACTTGTAATGCTGCAACTTTCCTCAACACTTTTGCTTTGTAAAAGACATTTGTTTAATCTAGTAACGCAACATTTGTGAGTAGCTGATGAAGACAATTCCTATCGTGAACTGTGAAACAGGACAAGATTTACACGACCCACAAACATAAATAAATGTATGTCAGATCAATTGACATGCATTAACGAAGTATACATATTTTGAGGATGTAACAATTTTCAATATACTCAGAAAAAAATGATAACATAGAATTATAAAGTATTTGTTCTTGCTAGATAACGAGCAAAATTTTCTTCTGCTATAACAAGGCTTGTGCAGGGCTTTAAAAATATTTTTGTGAGCAAGAATCCCCCAAATTTAATCATTCTTTGACCAATTTAGCCATATACAAAACTGATCTCATGATTTGTGATTTAGCCCCCACTAAGAATGAGATAGTCTATTTTAAAACGAGATGTAAACCGTTGGTGCTCAGAACACAATGCTCCCAAGTATGGTGTCCTGCCATGCTGGGTGCTCTGAACTGCCTGAAGTTCTTCCCTCATTCTGTCTCTGGCTCCTCTTTCTCTCTTGGAGCAAGCCATCGGAACCAGAATTCCTCTCCCTCAAGGCAGGTCGTAGAAACCAGGACTACTCTTCCCCACAGCAAGCTACAAAACATAGAAAGGTTGATTCCCCTTCTCCCTTGTGGTCTCTCACATGTCAGGCGCTCTCTCCTACACCTGGAGGAAGGAATACCACACAGAAAGGCCAAGAAGAGTCTGAACAAATAGGGCTTGCTGACTTTCCCCCTTCAGACTGTTACAATTAGATCATATTCTGCCTGTCCAGCCATACTGCCACACAGTTGTCTATTGTTCATCAAACCTAAACACGGAAATAGAATCTTTCCTAGGTCACTGGATTTTCATTCCTGAAGGCTCCTGTATTATAGAAAACTTTTATTAAATAAATGTGTATGCTTTTCTCTCATTAGCTTGTCTTTTGTTAGGACGGTCAGCCATGACTCTCATGACAGGTGAGGAAAAGTATCACGCCTTTTCGCTCCCACAACATGACCCTCCCAATCCAGGTAGTCACCCTTTCAGACAGCATAAGTCCTTGGGCCTGAAACTGAAGCCAATTATTCTACAAAGCATTTCATTTGAGACAGACTATTTAACGTTGGTGTTTCTCAGATTTAATAAGAAACAAAAATATTCAAATCCAAGTTTCCAAAACTTTCAAACTATTTCAAGATGACTCAAGAAATTATTCAAATGCTGACTTAATTTATTCAAATGCTGACTTAATTCATTTCAATGATGAATTAATTTTTTCTATTACTGACAAATTATTTTAACTGTATTATTACTTAAATCTGGTCAAACATAAGACAAGTCATAAACTGCTTATCCTTATAGATCCATTAAAAACAAAATCTAAAACAATACTATGCAATATTATTTTGTCAAAGGTGAATCACCATTTGTAATGCCAACATATCAATGATGGTAGAGCGTAAAATATTTGAACTTGGCGTACAAATATTGCCATGTGCTGATTTGATTCTCATTATTTTTTCTTCATTTTTACTCTTGTAATGTCGTTTGGCCTTTACTTGCCAAAGACAAATGTTTACACATTAAATATTCTTCTGTGCGTTTCTCATTTGCCTACTACAGCAATCCACGATTGAAACAAACAGGACAAACACCAGCACAAGTATCACATGGAAGCATTCTGCATGAAGTGATTATCCAGGAGATTCAGAATACATTGTTATAATTTTTAATATTAACATCAAATGAAAACACAACCCATAAAAATGATCATAGATAACTTGAGGACCTCCAAAATGCAGAATCAACATAAAAAACAAAAATAACCAGCTTAATGGAAGTTTGCTTTCTTCCCGATCTAGTGAAATTCCCAACTTGTAATCAAAGAAGTCTGACCATGCTGAAGTAGAACTTTGGGTTCACTATATTGACAAAACCACGTTTCAATCAGTTTCTGAAATACGTCTCAGAATTACCATGTGATTCTTTGGGCTTATTTGGTGTATGCCATCTGCAACCTCAAGAAAGTACAATGTTAGAGTCTGAATTATAAAATAGACTTCTGACCTTTTGTTCTCTCTAACTGCTTTGTCACCTTTCTTCCAGGAGATGGTTGGTTTGGGAGAGCCTTGGGGTTTGCACTCTATGATGACTTCTCGGCCTTTGGTAACAATTACCGTTTTCTTCAGTTGATTCAGTGCAAAAGTAGGAGCTGAAGCTATTAAAAGAGTCAATGTTAGTTCTACCAGAAGCAATAATAATAATCTCTAATGGATGATTCACCAATATTTTTAATGTTTTCTTCTGGGATACATTTCTCATAAAATTATAAAATATCTACATGTGAAAAAGACACTAGCACCGAATTTTATGTATTATTAATTAATTTGTATCTTGCTGGCTTCATTCCCATTTACAGGTAATGGTTGTATACAACGTGGGGTCCTCAGATAAGGCTGTTTCAAAGAGTGACATGCTTAAATTATGATTACGAACTTCAGTTGTGAAAGACTTATGAACAACTTGGGCAAGAGGTCAAGAGACTGACCAAGAAAGTCTACTGGGTCTTCCTTTGAAAAAACAGAGGTTATCGATGAAGAAGACAAGCCTGTATTTTCTATTTCCTACCTGTGAATCTTAATTTAATCCATGTATTACTTTAATATTCTATGAAATTGAATGCAGTTTAAAAATACATTTTAAAAAATGGAACTTTAAACATTTCAATTAAAGTTTTTACTTTGTTATAATTTTTCACTCAGGTCTGATTAGTCATTAACATAAATATTATTTTTATTAGATTTTGTATTAAGATACTTTGAATCTTAATGGGAAACTTAAAACTATGTCTACAAGTCTTCAGTATCTGAGACATTTATTTATACAAACGTGATGGTTTTGTGAGTATTCCATAAGTATTTTATGTCCTCCATAAAGCAATACTGTGCATGGCACAGCAACATTTTGAGATTGAGATATTGAGATTGAGATATGTTGAGATTTACAAAAAGTAAAGAAACATATGAGGGGATAGCAGGTAATAATTTTGGTTGTCTCCTGAGAATAGAATTTACAATAAGTAATTTAAAAAACATTTCTAGTAAGTGAGAAAGGTTTGAGAGTGCTTCTGAGTAAACTATTAACCAGGCAAAGACTAAATCATCTTTATAATTCGGTGATATTGCAGTGTGAGTCAATGAAAAAGTACATTGCTATCGGGTCAGGTAGGATGCAGGAGACTGAAATGGGAAATCTTGTATCTACTTTGGATGGATTTGTTGTAACGTGGGGGAATTTCGAGTGCAAACATTCATTAATCAGTACCTTGATTTATGATGTATTATATTTAGCTGATATGTACATGGTAGGCTCCCAGATTCCTGAGATCTTTGATGTTTCTGTTAATATTATGCTTTGGAAATGCACATGGGGAACACAATGAACACTTGGGTTTCTGCCCACTTTGGGAGACAGTGAGTTAGTATCTCTCTTTGTATCGCAAACATCGCAGAAAAAAGTTTAGGAAACCATCCAAGTGGGAAAAGTAACATCCATTCCAGTGGCCCAGATATGCTCCTTCTGGGTAGTCTACTCTACTGGTCGATTCTTTCCAGTAGCATTTCAATAGTGAAGTACTGTTGGTGCCAACAGTTACATTCTTTTCTTTTCTTTCTTTCTTTCTGTTTTTTTTTTTTTTGAGCCAGAGTCACTCTATTGCCCAGGCTGGAGTGCAGTGGCACACTCATGGCCACCGCAGCCTCGACCTGCTGCAAGGCTCAGGCGATTCTTCGCCTCAGCCCTCCAGGTAGCTGGAACCACAGGCACGCACCACCATGCCCGGCTAATTTTTTGATTTACTGTAGAGATGAGGTCTCGCCAAGTTGATCAGGCTGGTCTTGAATCCCTGGGCTCAGGCAATCCTCTTGCCTCTGCCTCCCAAATTGCTGGGATGGCAGGCGTGAGCCACCGTACTAGACCCCTGTTACATTCTTATCAGAGCTGTAACCCCATGATTCGGTCATGCCTGGCCTCAGGAAGGCTCTCTCTCTTATGTAAACGTGAAAAGGGTTGATTTAGCCAGGAGTCCTGCCTGGGAAAATACTGAGCATTGCCATGGGAACAGGGGCAGGCTGATGGAATTCTAGATTCTGATCTCCTTCCCTTGAGGCATTCTTCCTTGAAAGTTACCATATATTTCTTTATATGATTTTTAATGCCATAGCAAAGACATATTGTATAAACCCTTTAAGATTCAAACTAAAGTTAGGAAAACCATACAACCCAAAAGTTATGGGATAAACTATGCACAATGTAAACCTGTCTGCGAAAGTTAAAAAAAAAAAAAAGTACATCAGCAAGACATCATATTTCTTTTCAAGTCATAAAATAGGTTGTTTTTTTTTTTTTACAACCACATCATAAAACTTCAGTATAGTAAGAATTAGAGCATGAACAGAAGCAGCCTTTATTTTTCCTATATATTTACTTCGAAATTGCATACCTAGAATCTTCAGTTCAGCACTGGCATAGATGGCTCCATATTTATTTTCAGCCAAACACTGATACATTCCAGCATCTGATTGATTCACACTGCGGATCATCAATACTCCATTAACCATCTCAACCCTGCTCTGTAATGGAATAAAAAAAATTAAATCTAGAAAGTAAGCAAATTATACGAATTTGATGGGTACTGTCTCCAAGACCAAGAGAAAACAAGTTGCAGTAAATGCAGTTAAACAGCATTTGGCAACTTAGTAAAACAAGTTTACTGTTCGTTATTTTATTGCAACATGTCTTATGTAAATTGTAATTATTTCTTGGTTAAAAAAGAAATTGTAACTGTATTTTCCTGTAGTTATTCTTACAGGTTTCAGTGTCAGTTTTGTTTTTTCAAATGAGTTCCATTTGTTTGGTACACCAGTTGAGCCTGTGAAATGTAATCCGCAGATGATGCTTTCATTTGCATTTCTTTTACAAAAGAGAAGAGGGTTTCACATGGAAGAAAAGACTGAGATTGGGACACACAGGATCAGGGCTGAAAAAAGCCTCGGCCATAAGAACAATTCCTTCACTATATTGATTGGATCAATGCCTTTTCTCTCACTTCCCAATAAACTCACACGTTAACAACGTAACTAACGTCATTATCAGAGGAAAATTAACTTAGACGATAGAAAATTGAACATGTGCAAATTAAGGTAAACTGAGGCTAGGAGCACATTTCAAAGACCAATTTTAAGTTTAAAAGGTTTTCAAGCAACCAGATGTCTTGTCTGCCTAATGCCAAGCAAATCATTTCTTTAAATCCTAGCGAGCAGTGCTTTATCTGCCAAGAGATACCGAGTAATTTTATTTATTTTATTTTATTTTATTTTTTGAGTTGGAGTCTCACTCTGTCTCCCAGACTGGAGTGCAGTGACCGCTCCCGGCCACCGCAGCCTTGACCTGTTGGGCTCCAGCGATCTTTCCGCCTCAGCCTTCCGAGTAGCTGGAATTACAGGCGCGCGCTACCATGCCTGGCTGATTTTTTGATTTACTGTAGAGATGAGGTCTCGCCAAGTTGCCCAGGCGGGTCTCGAACCCGCAGGCTCAGGCAATCCACTCACCTCAGCCTCCCAAAGGCGCGGGATTACAGGCTGAGCCACCGAGCCCGGCTCCGAGTAATTTTAGATGATATCTAAAAGTCAGTTAGAAATGACGATACATCTAGGATAATCATGGATAGTTTCCTAAGAAGTTATAGATTGAAAAAATTTTAAAGCAACACCCTATTAGTCAACAATGGAATGAAGTAATTAAAAAAATTTTTGCCTATGTAGTTGCTATATTTCTCACTCGATATACATGGAAATTCAGGAGTAGGAAATGACTTTTAATAAGACCAAAGGACCCCAAGTTTGTCCTGTGGATTACTGCTACAGTTCCCCCGGGACAGGTGAATAGCGCCCCACGGTACCTGAGGTAAGAGGGCTGCTCCGTTCTTCAGCCAGCGGTAGGTGGGTCTGGGTTTTCCGGTGGCCTTACATTCCCACCGGAGAGGGCTCCCACTGTCCAGCTGTGTGTCATTCAGTTTTTCTATCCAGTGTGGGTAGGCTGCAAGTATTGAAGCAAGAAAAAAAGATGATTACCATTCTCAAACACCGCACCAAGTTCAAAGTTCCCATGGAAAAATTCACTGCTTTTTTTGCTTTGCAATTCACTTCATGTAAGTGTTTGGAAGGAGCGTGGCATTGTATTGCACACAGAATCCTTTTTCCTGTCCCCCAAAATGTATATAGCGGTGCAGATATTCTGATAATTTAAAAAAGGCTGTAAGTATTGCAGCATTAAAGAAGGGTGATTTCCATTCTCAAATACCATACCAAGTTCAAAATTCGCATGGAAAAATTCATTATTATGATTATTATTTTTGCAATTCACATAATATAGCTGTTGATAAGAAGCATGGCATTGTATTGCACACAGAATCCTTTTTCTTATCCTATATATATATATATCAGTGCAGATACTTTGATAATTTAAAATACTTTGGAACCTAAGTGAAGTCTATCTTTACTTTGTTTAGTTAGGAAGTCAGGTACTTAGAGTCATTGTTCTCTCTTTTTTTTTTTCATTAATCAGTATTTTTTATTATGGTTTTGTGGGGTACAGTTAAAGGGTTAGGTGTACAATGACGTTTCATTTCAGCACCCTGTAGATAGAGTGTT